TCCTTTAGCGATAAAAATGCTCCTCCTCAATTTGACGTCCGCCTTCCGCCACACAGTCGCACACATAAATATGTCAACAACTAGGCTTTATCGTCATTATCGCAGAAAGACTAATTCTTATCATAAGGAGAAATTTTACCGGTATATCGCAAATGATAAGATATCACCCATCCCTTACAATCTTGCTGCAGTTTCATCTTTAACCACTAGGGGTCAACGAAACGGAAACACTCTCTCACCTCCACAGAGGATAATAGCGGCCACGAAGAGCGCGAGGTCGCTGTCGTCCAGCTCGAGAGCATTAAACTTCACTGCAAACTCAAACTTCGGCTCCATGATCTCGCTGAAGGGTTTGCGCAGACTGCGCAGGAACTCTCTCGTCACGAAGCCCCGCCCATTCGCCACCAGCAGCCCGTCTTTATTCATGAGCGACGGCAGCATGGCGAAGATCGCCTCGTGGACCCCGTATTTCAGCAGCGTCACCTGCAGGAGCGGAGGGGAGCTAGCTGAACGGATTTCTATGTAAAGCGTTCTTGCGTAAACCGTCACATTTTTTTGGGGTTTCACAAACAAGGTTTACTAAAGAAAGTAATTAGAATAATATACGTTCTGCTTGCGTTTAATGAGACAAATGTGTATGCTATAATGACTTTTTTCACACAAAGATTCGTTTTGCCTGCATTAAATGCAATGATTTATGCAACTTTACAAAAAGTGAAATGCGTTACATTAAATGCAACAATGTACTCAAGAACTGTTTAATGAACGTTTTAAACAGCAATTTATTCTGATTGTATTTTGTGAATAAAATTCAATGCAACATTTTATGATTGATTTACAGAGAAATATTTTTTTTAATGAATTGCATTAAATGCAATAACCTGACTTTATGACTTTACAAACAATTTTTTTTACTAAAAGGTGTTCTGCCCACATTTCATTAAACTAATCAATGGTACATTTTACATGAGAATAACTTTATCTACATACACGCGATCTCTTTATGAACTGTTTACCAAAGAAATGCTTGTGTTTTTGGGAAATTCTTGCAACAACAAGAAATATTTTACAATGGTTTTTTTGGATGCTGCCTGTATTTAACGAATTGCATTAGATGCGACAATTTGCCTTCGATCACTTTACACACAATTTCAATAAAATTTTTTGCAAGTTATGCGCAACATTTTTCACTTGACTTCATGATTGATCCGCAAAAAAATTAGTTCTGCTTTTTCAATTTAACCGAATGCAACAATTTGCGCAATAATGAATTTACGAATTAAGTCGACATCTGCATTCTGTTTCAATTCAGTGCATTAGATTTCGTTTAGTTTAACTGAGCTTGGATTGTCTTTTTACATAGTTGGAAATCTTGTACTTTTTACGCAACATAACAGAGATAACCCCCCCCCCCCCCCAACCCCCCCGATTGCGTTACCTGGTCATTCAAGAAAAGGTCGATGAATCCTGGGATGCTTTTGGAGAACTCTGTGAGTTCTCGTACGGTTTCCACGGTCGTGCACTGACAGCGGAAGAACACGTGCACGCCAATCTCCTTATTGGGCGGAGCTCCGTTAATC